GAGTCTGTTGTGTGCAGTCGGTTGTACTATTACACTTGTGGAGCTGATGTCCAAAAAAAATTCATTGCTGGATTTATTTCATATATAGATCCGTAAATTTCACAAAATGTGAAAAAAGGTACAATGCTTTCTGATATTACTCTATCACAAAATCATCAGCTTGCAGTTTTCATTCAACTTTCATTCAACTACAATTTGTGACTGTCGTGGAAAAAAAACTTAAAAAAGAAGAAATAACTGATCATGTTAAAGGAAGTTGTAGCCAAGGTTATTGTCTGAATTATTCTTCTAATTTATGATGTAAATATTCAATAACTATTGTGATATTATTTTAAAACTTTTAAATTTGTTTGGTGTGTCCATCAATTATGCTGATCTCATACTGGTTATTTATGAATACCATTTTGGTGTCAATTACATGCTGTCACTGCACCATGGAAGTATGTGCCAATGTTTTCTATTTATTTATCATTGGTTTAATGATATCTTTGGGTCTGTACGAGTAATGTACTATTTACTTGTTTCTGTTTTACAAAAATTGGGTTCGGATACGTTTGCTGCCAGTCACCATTTGAATTAAAGAACAATTAGTGTATAGGATATTTTTTGTTCATTATTAATTAAGTTTAGTCCATTCATTCGTCTGTTGTTTCGGAAACTTTCTAAATTATGGAATAATTATGTCATTATTTCATATATTTGAAACCTTTTTGTACTGTTGATATTGTACCAGTGACCATTGTGGAGGTCGTTGAGCATGGTTGTCATGTGGCCTGTATCTTAGACATATCTGGCCCGACTACACTACTGTTCTGTTCTTGAGCTACATCTTCGACATGCCTCGACTGATTGCAAAATAAATTTTACAACTGCATTTTACACTATGTCACACATAATATCATGCGTTTATTTAAATTTCTTATTCAAAATGGCCAACTAATTTCTGTTTTGTTTTGGGACTTGTCATTTAATATTTAAAAGAAGTGTTTGTGACTGCTGACATGAAACATGTCACTATGTATTACCAGTAGTGTCGTGTTGTGTTGTGTTGTGTTGGAATGGTTGCCTAGAAATAGAACACTATTAAAATAAACATGAAATTTGAACCAGTTGGAAATGTGATTTGTAAATGAAATTTGAAAACTATTGTTATAGTTGATAGCAATTTGGGTTTTATTCATTGATGCTGGTTCGTTTGTGAATGTAGCCCAGGTTTTACAATATTAGACTAATATTTGTTATTTACCTTTAGTGGCTAATATTTTGAATAAAATATGAATGTATGATAGAATTTGTAGTATTATATAACCACTTTGTAATCTGCTGTACAATACCATTGAATAATATAAAATACACAGTTCATATCGTTTTGAGAAAATGGACAGACAGACAAGTGAATGGATGGACAAACTGCCAGACAAATCTCAGCATAAACATGATATTTTCCTTTGTC